CCGTCCACCCTGTGAAAGGACAGTCAAAACTCTTGGACAATACAAACTGAGGACCCGACTGATGCTTCGTGAATGACAGCATGCAAATCTGCAGAAAATAGTGCATTTCAGGACTTTAATCACTGCAAAACTTTAATTACCAACACCTGGGAAATCGGGTGTGATGACGTTGCTCAAACACGGACACTCACCTCCTTACTGATTGGAACCGAGAATGACATTCATCGCCATTGTTGCTGTTCCCAATTCATACTGTTCTGTGATCGCTAAGACACGTTGCCCAAACACTACGCTTCTACCTCGGTTAAATGGTAAATTCCGAAGAAGGCAGTGTCCCTACTATAAAAAGACGGTAGTCACGTTACTATCTCCTTTTCCCGTTCGGGTGCCTATGATCAGTACTCGATTACTACTGATTTGACAACCAACACAGCACCGTGTTTTCTATCGTACTGTGTTTGGCATGCCTAAAGCAACGTGAACAATGCTTTGTCACGCCAAACAATGTTCAGTGTCCATGGACGTCGTGTCGTGATGGATCGATAATTGCCGGACAGTTGTCCCCTGCGTCATCAGCAGCTTCAGAACAATGCAAGCGTGACACTTGTGCAGTGACCTGCGGTCGGACGCACCAGTCGAGCTGACCGTTTGAGCTGGCGGATTAGCGAACGCTCTGTGAAGCATGATTTTGTGGTTAGTATTCTTCACGTTGACGAACCAAGATGATGGTAAGACTGAATTTCGCCATTACGTGTTCGTGTTCGTTCCTCTGTGCAAAGCGTGGTCGTAAATCGTTCAGGGGTGATCGCTGAGCCGTGTCCGACTTGGGGCGACTGGCGCAACTGGACAAGTGAATGTACGTGGCTTCCGATGACCTCGGTCAAAACGCGGATCGAAGTCGCATGCGGTCGAAACATCAGCTCAGACAGCAACTCGATTCCTCTACCAGACGATTTTCAGGCTCCCGAGCTCTGCGGCTACTGTTCCGCCAAGCTGCGATGCAGAAAACGGCCTCACAAGGAAAACTGCGCGTAATTTGATTGTTTCTTCGGTTAGAGTTAGGGTCCTGCTTCCCAAAACACTGCTATAACTT